CCGCCCCTTCCCGCTGCCCTGGAAGCAGATCGCGGCCTGGAGGGCGGTCGGGGCCGCCGCGATTTGACTGCTGCATGCGTCCCCAGGCCCGTTTTCTCGGGTCTCCGTCCTCATATCCCCCGCCCTTCCCCCTCGGGAGGGCGGAGGAAGGCCTTTGTAGAGGCCCGGGGTGCCCGAGGCTGCGCCCGGGACCGGCGCGGGGGGCGTTCTTCGTTTTCTTTTTTCTAAGCTTTTAAGAGGAAGCTGCCCTTGACTTGGAAGCTCTCTCTTCTGCTTTGAGCTTAGCGGAGGACTTGATGGTGGCCCCTGGGCTACTTCAGTGTGGAGTCAGCTCCAGCATTTTGAGTCCCATGGAGGTTGATGTGAGGTAGAGACAGGTACGTAACACCAGCCATCCCTGTTACCTTTAAAAACGCTGCTGCGTTCTCTCGTGCTGGTCGCTGTGTGAATCGAGGTCGTTAAATGAGGTAAAGGTAAGCGCCTGGCTGTGGGACGCTCCCCAAACCCTCGTCTGCACCCCCGCCCGCCTCGGGCGGAAATAACCTTCCCACCCGCTTCCAAATACTCAGTGAGGAGAGACTGAGGAAAAAATGTTTTCAACACGGAGAAACTTGGTGCAACGCTCTTAATTTTTAAACTGAGGCCCAGAAAGGTGAAGCGATGGGACCAAAGGGGAAGAACAGAACGGGAATTCATATTTATCTGGCATCGGCATGTGTGTACATCTTGTCAGAGGCTTTATAAACATTAATTCGTTTCATTCTTGGCATCCGGACTTTTTTAACCTGCTTTGCCCCTCTCAGTAATGTTTATACATTTATTAGGCCATATTTTTTAAAAGCTCCATGATCCAACAATATTAATGTCAGTTAGGATAAGTGGTGGATGTCCTTGGAAAATAAATGGCAGCAAAGTGCTGATGTTGACAAGATGACAAAGAAAGTGTAGAAGAGTTCCGAAGAATTGTAGCCTGAAAGATGCGGGGAGATAGCGGCAAGACAAAATAAGCTTCATTAAAGTGGTCTGACGCTCTTGCCTCCCAGGAAAGATGGACTGGAGCATAACTACAAGTCAATGAGTGTGCACATCCAGATTTTCAGGGCTACAATGCGGGTAAGATGGCTGAAAATCAGGATAGGTTTCTGTACTGTGTATTCTGATTGCTGTTTTGTAGTTTGTGCGCCTTAAGCACTCAATTACTGAACCGTATGTGTATGGCATATTCACTTAGGAACATTAATTTTTATTTAATTATAAAATTTACAATTAATGGTATGGTTTGAAGGGCTTAAGAGGGGAGACCAAATGGCACTGAGGCGATTGACAGCATGTCTGTCTCAAGGTTCCTCTTCTGTAGGGTCACTGGACATAACATCTGGAGGCAGAAGACATGAGTGGGGGTTTCAGGGTAGCCAGACTCATGCCAAAAGATGGGACAGCCTCTGATTGCAGAGATTTTTCTGTCCGTCTACCACCCCTACCTACTCTTTGGCATTCCTACTGTATTTGCCTTAGAAATGCACCTGTTGGACTTCAGAAGTATGACCTTTGGTCAGCAGGCCTGGGGAGGAAAGATAAGTGCTAAAGCCTCATCAGTGATTTATCTGAGTGCCAACCACCACACCTTGCTACACACATACACTTCAAACTCCTCCAGGCAGAGATGCCTCCTGCTTGACACATAGCGACACTTTGGGGAAGGTGTCACTTATTGAACACCTGCTAGAAGCCAGGCATTGTACTAAGTATTTTTTACATTTAAGCCTATACTGTTATCTCCCATTTTACAAATAGACACTTTAATTCCAATAATTAAACCTGTCTAAGGTAAGACTACTGAGAAATGGTTTAACTAGGGGGTTGCACCTTGGTTCTGATTACAAAATCCATAAGGTTCCCTCTCAGTTGCATCCAGCCCAACCTCCTGCCCCCACCTCTAGGTATCACTACACCAGACACGGCATGGAACAGATTAGAATAATGAGAAAAGAAATCTGTAGGAGTTTTGAGTGGAAAGGACATTCATGTTGCTTCTCTTTTCTCTTGCTGAATAAAGCTGCAAGTGACTGCTTAGGACTAGTTCTAGACTTGGAAAAGAGAGAAAAGAGCCTTGTTATTTCTGTGGAGCCCAGCCCTTCTGACCAGAGTAAGTAGCAGGTCAACAAGGAGAAGCATTATGCAGAAATTTAGCCATACCATCTCTGACATTGTATCACTTGAAAATCTAAATGCGGGGACACTTACTCAAGAGGATGGATCTAGCCCATGATTGGGGCTGGAAGTGGGAGAGGGCAGGCGAGAGCTACAACCCAAGGCCCTGTTCTCAAAACATTTAGCCTTCTTAGAAACCATCAACCTGGATCTAATCAAAGCCAACCCTGCTCTTTGAGCAATCATTTCATAATTATTTTCCTTCATTTTTCTTTGTTACCAGGGTTTAAGAATTTGTTCATTATAAAGAGGTAGATATGGAACTTTAGTATTAACTTAAATGTTTATAAGATCTTATAAAAACAAATCAGTGAGTATCGGCCACCTTAATCAAATTAGGTAGAGCATAAGTACAGTCTTCAGATACTGTACATATAGCCGTGAAATACGAATCTGTCATTTGCACAACTCCCTGAATCACCTTGTAGAATACAAAAAACACTGAGCCAAGTTAACCCAGGACCTGGACCTTTTGTCAGAAGGAGGAAAAAGGCTACTCTCAGGAACAAAGAAAAAAACCTGCTCAGAGTATATCTGCCCTTTCCTTGTCACCTGGTAGCCAGTTTGCTATGTCAGTTACTCAAACATTTGTAAGGCAGTTGTGAAATTACCAAGACTCTGTTGTACCGCCAGTTCTCTTGTCACCCAAATGACGTCTCCTCAAATAAGGCCTCTGTTTAGTACTCGATGGTAAGCAGTTCACAAAGTGGGAAAGGATTTACTTTGACAGCCACTTTACCTTGACCAATGTAAGTGATTTAATTATTGATAAAACATTTGCAAGTGTGCTGAACCAGGCACCTTGGGGATACAAAAAATAAGATATAGTTCTTGCCCTGGAGAAACTCATAGTGCAATAAACAGTCAAAAGAACAGGTTTAGAACATGTCCAGTAATGTGAGTGATTATAATCATTTAGTACTAAATTCTTAAGAATACCAAGCCTGCTACCTATAAATAAATGCCTTTATCACCTGTGAGTACACCTTTAAGAGATTTATCCCATAAATTAAAGAATTGTACCCAGAGGCTGTCAGATTGGAAATTCCCACAAGCAATTAAAGATGGCTAGTAGATTTAAACACCAATGGCAAATCTTTTGGACCAGAGTAACTGCCAGGAATGTTGTATTGAGAAGGATTCTGAGGTTATGTTCCACCTTAAGACGGAAAAACACTGCCATGAGGAAAGGAGGAGGAGAAGATAACACTGATGGCACATATTTCCTGTCCATGAGTAAAACCTTGGTTTAAATAACAAAACGGGGCAGCCGAAATCTGTGGGTACCTGGGCAATGCCCACTTGGAAACTGATTTATCTACCTCACCACTGAGAATTCACCACCTGTCCCCAGGCTAAACAGCCTTAAGTCTAATCTCTTTTGCCAAACTATCTTCTCTATCCCTCTTCATTCACCATGAACACTCTGAGAACTAGGATGTACTTTTGATAAGGTAAATTCCAGCATCTCACAAGGTCAGGCATAGGTCAGACTGGGAGAGGCTGCCACTTCCCTACTCAGCATGGGTTCTTCCATCTCCCTTCAATACAGGTCCTCCATTCTGGAAGGCACAGCAGTATGCCTGCCTCAAAGTTGACAGCTGGCCACGTGGCTAAATCGAGCCAATGAGATATGAGTGGAATCTTCCAGGAAAGCTCTCTGAAGAGGCTTCCTTTTTTCTGCTTTCTGGAATGTGGACATGATGGCTGGAATTCAAGCATGTATGAGTACCAGGTGACCTTGAAGATGGAAGCCGTGAACTAAGATAATGTCCCTGTACTCTTCTTTTACCTGAGAGAAATAAACTCTGTTGTATAAGCCAGTGTTATTTTGAACTCCCAAGTTATATGCAGCTAAACCTAATCCTGATCTGGCCAGGATTTGATATTATTCTTTGATAGAGTTTTATGTATTCATGTTGACAGCTTTCTCTGATTGAGCCCCAGATAATAGGGACTTTGACCTAGAACTGTGGAGTGTCATATATACTTGGTTCCCATAGGGGAATCCAGGTTGGAACAGTGAGGTACAGTAGGCAGGCTCTGGAGCTAAGGTAGGGTTTTGGTGGCAAAAGGCAGATTAGTCCCCATGGAAATTAAAAGAATTAAATACCTGATACACTCTTTTAGTATACCACTCCTTCAGTATTGAAGCCAAAGGTTCCTGAAAACAGGAAACTCCATGAATATACCCTGGTATATATGTTCAAGATCCACCTGATCCAGGAAATTGGATCCATTTTTTCTGGACCTCTCTTTGTGATCCCACTGACTATTTGGGAAAGGGATGGGAAGGTTGCTTCTGTTACCTTATACTCTTCCCAACACATGCAACAAGTCTTTTTAGTCCAGGATGACTGGCATTTATGGCCCTGGCCAGGGATTTATTGAATATCTCCCATGATCCACACACTTTCACTTACCTTTATCTTAGTTAACTGGCCTTAATTCAGACCGTTTCCAACACAACAAAATGCAACAGCATTTTAAAAGTAAAACTAGATAGTTAATGAGTTATGTTAACTTACTGCCTCTACCTCACATTGTTCACCTTGAAGGAACTCAAAACACTCTGCTGCTATAATTCAACATTCAAATAGTCCTGGGGTCCCCAGGAGCAACTAGGTAGATCGTACTGAAGTGGGCAGTCCTGTCACTACCCGCTTAAAATATGTAAATAGCCTCTTACTGTTTTTAGAATGCCACTTTGCCTGGCATTCAAGCTGAATTTTCTCCAGCTAACAAGAATTGCTCACAACTCACTTTCACTTTACTCATGTGACCCTATCCCCTGAAAATACTCTTCCTCCTCCCCTGCCCCAGCTGCCATGAGTTGTTGTTCTTGTTTGTTTGTTGTTGTTTTTTTACTTTAAATTTTTATTTTAAATTTAAGTCATTTTTAATTTTCAATCAGTTGCCATACAATATTATATTAGTTTCAGGTATGCACCCCAGTGATTAGACATTATATAGCTTACTGAGTGATCATCCCAAAAAAATCTAGTTAGTACCCACCTGACACCATACCTAGTTATAATATTACTGACTATATTCACTATGTTGTACTTTACAACCCCCTGACTATTCTGTAACAACCAATTTGTACTTCTTAGTCCCTTCACCGTTTTCACCCATCCCCCTAACCCCTCTCCCATCTGGCAACTGTCAAAATGTTCTCTCCATCTATGAGTCTGTCTCTGTTATGCTGCTTCATTTTTTTTTAAAAGATTAATTTGTTGATAGACATGTATTTATTGGCATTTTATTGTTCATATTTTTTATCTTTTTTAATGTTCTTTGATTCTATATGATAGCTTTGCTAGGTAGAGTTATCTTGGTTGTAGGTGCTTGCTTTTAATTACTTTGAATATTTCTTGCCACTCCATTCTGGCCTGCGAAGTTTCTGATGAAAAATCAGCTGACAGTCTTTTGGGAGCTCCCTTGTGGGCAACTAACTGCTTTTAAGATTCTCTTTTTGTCTTTAACCTTTTGTATTTTAATTATGACCTGTCTTTTAAAAAATTTTTTTCTTTTCAGTTACAGTTGACATACATCATTATATTAGTTTCCAGTGTACACCTCAGTGACCAGACATTACATAACTTAATAAGTGATCACTCCAATAAATCCTGCACTCACCCAACACCATGCATATTTATTAAATTATTATTTACTATATTCCCTGTGCTGTTCTTTACATCCCCATGACTATTCTGTAAAAACCAATTTGTACTTCTTAATCCCTTCGACTTTTTCACTCATCCTCCCAAACCCCTTCCATCTGGCAACCAACAAAAAGTATTCTGTATCTGTGAGTCTGTTTTCTGTTCTGTTTGTTCATTTTGTTTATAGAATGAATTATTGATAGATATGTATTTATTGCTATTTAATTGTTCATATTTTTTATCTTCTTCTTAAAGAATACCTCTTAACATAATTCATATAATACTGGTTTGGTGGTGATGAACTCTTTTGGCTTTTCCTTGTCTGGGAAGCTTTTGAATGAAAGCTTCCTTTGCTTCTGAATGATAGCTTTGTAGGGTAGAGTAATCTTGGCTGTAGGTCCTTGCTTTTCAACACTTTGAATATTACTTGCCATTCCTTTATGACCTGCAAAGTTTCTGTTAAGAAATCAGCTGACAATCTTATGGGAGCTCCCCTGTAGGTAACTAACTCCTTTTCTCTTGCTACTTTTAAGATTCTCTCTGTCTTTAACCTTTGGCATTTTAATTATGTGTCTTGGTGTGGGCCTCTTTGGGTTCATCTTGTTTGAGACTCTGTGCACTTCCTGGACTTGTATGTCTATTTCCTTCACCAATTTCTTGCTCGCTCTCTTCTCCTTTTGACATCCCCATGATGCAAATGTTGATATGTTTGAAGTTATCCCAGAGGCTCCTTATACCATCCTCATTTTTTTTTAATTCTTTTTTCTTTTTGCTGTTCTGATTGGGTGTTTTTTGCTTCCTTATATTCCAAATTCTTTGAATCTCAGCATCCTGTCTTCAACTGTTGATCCCCTATAAATTATTCTTTATTTCAGTTAGTGTGTCCTTCATTTCTGACTGGTCCTTTTTTTATGTTGTCGACGTTCTTAGTAAGTTTCTTGAAGTTCTAAGTTTTGTGAGCATCCTTATAATCATTGCTTTGAACTCTGGTAGTTTGCTTGCTTCTATGTCATTTAGTTCTTTTTCTGGAGATTTCTTCTATTCTTTCACTTGCAACATGTTTATTTGTTTCTGCATTTTTGCTGCTTCTCTGTGTTTGTTTCTCTGTATTAGGTAGAGCTGCTATGTCTCCTGGGCTTGGTAGAGCGTCCTGTTATAGTAGATGTCCTGTAGGGTCCAGTGGCACAGCCTCCCTGATCACCCAAGCTGGCACTCCAATTGTATAACCCCTCCTCCTCTGGGCTGTGTAGAGCCCTCCTGTTATAGTTGAGCCTTGATTGCTGTTAGCACATCAATGGGCGGGATTTACCCCCAGGCCTATCCACTGAAAGGACTGGCTGCCACCACCAACCACCGTGGATGATCAGCTGTGCAGGGGCCCTCACCACAGAGCAGGACGTACTTCAGCAGGGCTCTGATACCCACTGAGTCTGCCCCTCGAGTGTGTCATTGTGGAGGTGGTTGGATGATGTGTCGATGTGGTGTGAAACTGTCCACCGAGTGCACTGGCTCTGGGGCCTCCTGGGAGATACACAACTGCACTTAGAAGTCAGGCCAATGCCCCACCCCACCCCCTGAAGCCATGGAAGACAAACTTCACACACCCAAAGTCAGTCTGGATTAGCACCTCAACTAGCTACAAATTAGCCATGGCTAAGCCCACCCAACTCCACAGGACAAAGCTGCCATTTGTTTTTAATCCTACTTATCCTTCAAGGCCCAACACAAGCACTGCTTTTTCTCAGTCCCTAATGCTGGAGATCATAAACTCATATACGCTTTATATAAAACCACTGATCTCTTCCTACTTTTGTTGTTTTTATGCATTAATTTTTTTTCTTTTTTTTTTTTTTAATATATCTTTATTGATTTTAGAGAGAGGAAAGGAGCGGCGGAGAGAGAGATAGAAACATCAATGATGAGAGAGTCATTGATTGGCTGCCTCCTGCACACCCGACTAGGGATCAAGCCCGAAACCCGGGCATATGCTTTGACTGGGAATCGAACCCTGATCGTCTGTATCCTAGGTCAACGCTCAACCACTGAGCCATACCCGGGCGGGCTATGCATTAATTTTTTTATCTTCCCTGTTAAGCTGTAAGCTCCTAAAGAGTGCCCAAGCCTCCCTCATTCCTCTTGTGCTCGCCACAATGCATGGCATCTAGGAGGCACCCAAGGACTATTTGTTACCTGAATAAAAGGCAGGCAAGTGCCTGAACATTTTTTTTACCCCCTCAGCCTTCTGGTATTTTTCTTTCTCTCCTTCGTTTATACTCAGCAAGGGAAGGATAGGGAATGAATTGTTTATTTATTGAAATTCCAAGTTTAAGAGAGGAACTTCTGGCCATTCTATGATCAGTAATTGGATGGTTTCCTTGATTCTCACAGCATCTTATATATGCCCACACCACAGCATTTATCAATATGTATGTAGTATTTTTACCCACATTTGTCCCAAGTAAACTCTGAAGTAGGAAGCAGAACTTGTAGCCCTGTTACTAAGAGAAGTAATGCTTAAGAGATACTCCGCTACTGAGAACAGTGGCACCTAAAAGTCATCAAGGCACTCTCCAGATAAATCTCCAAAGCAGTCATTGCCTCACCTTAGTTTCCCTACAGTGGACCAGAATAAAATTTTGCACACCTAACAGGGAAGCTGCATACAGGTAGAAAACTAGATCCAGCCTTGACAGTTCTTCAGCATTTTATTTTTCCATGTTCCAAATTGCTTCAGTGTATCCTGTTATCATTTCTATTTTCCATTTTGTCCAGCAGGAGAACTTATAGTTGACAATACCAGCAATGTATCTTCATGATAGTATCACCTTACTCCAAAGCTCTCAAGAAATGACCCCATGACCATTACAAACCTCATAGAAACTTCTTCCCTAACAGAGTGCCTGAAATTCCCAGTTGGCTATCCCTTGGGAATAAGTCCTTAAAATCTCATGTTGTCTTTAATAAGTGATTATTGGAATATTCACACATTAAAATGTTACCTATTCTCGGGCTGGCCAGTGTTGCTCAGTGGTTAGAGCATGCACTCACTCACAGACCAAAGGGTCCCATGTTCGATTCTCAGTCAAGGACACATGCCTGAGTTGCAGGCTCAATCACAGGTTCCAGCCGGTCTGGGAGAGTGTGGGAGGCAGCCAATCAAT